TTATTATTATTATTATTATTATTATACTGTCTGCATAAGGTTGATTTGGTCTAGCTCAATTGCTGCCAAACTGGCTTTTCGTTTTAAGCTAATCTGAAGTAGTTTATCTCACCAGATATCAGTAATTCCTGCATGCGTTACTTGAAAGCAAGCGAAGGTAATAAAAAACTGATGAGTTGTGGGAAGGAGGTGATCCCAAATGGAATCATCCTGAGCTGTGGAACAAGGAATAACTCTAAGTTAAGAATTATAATCAATATAACAAGGACTACAATGGCTCAGGGTTCTTAGGGGAAGGTATAATAGCTGTCAATATATGCATTTATGAATACAGTGGTGCCTCGCATAGCGAGGTTAATCCGTTCCGGATTAACCTTCGCTATAGCGAAACATCGCTGTGCGGAAATAAAAAAGCCATAGAAACGCATTGAACTTTGTTCAATGCGTTCCTATGGCTTGAAAACTCACCGCTGTGCGAGGTTCTTCCATAGCGCCGCCATTTTCACGCCCTCGGTAAGCGAGGGCAGGGTGCGAAAATGCGGCGCGGACCTTCCAGCGGCCATTTTGGAACCGCCGATCAGCTGTTCTCCCCCGCTTCGTTATGCGATATTCGCTAAGCGAATCGCTTAGCGAATATCGCAAAGCGAAAAATCGCCATAGGGGCCATCGCTCAGCGAGGCGCTCGTTAAGCGAGGCACCACTGTATATGAAATATATTCATATATTCACGGCTGATGTCCCAAGGCCAGAAGGCTTGTCTTCTCAAGCCTGATTTCCCCCTCATACCTTCATCCCTATCTAGGCCTTTAAACCTACTTGCTTACCACCAACAAGTGCAGGTTCCAAGCGAACAAGTTCAGTGGCATTTCCACCCCAACAGGAATCAGATATTCTTCTCCAGAGTAGCCCACGCTGGGGCACGCAGCTGAACCACGGGGCTCCTCAGTGAGCGCCTAGGAGACAAGGTGCTGTTAAAAGCAGTTGCATTTATCTGCCCCTTCTTCCCCTTCTTCCTTTTGTTCTGGATCACGGCTATAAAACAAAGATGGGCAAAGCGTGGCTGGCAGGCCACACCTGCCCCCCACTCAATGGCCCCACCCAACTCCCCATTTCTAAAAAATCCAAATTACTCAGAAACATCCTGGTATGTCCCCTAAGGGTGTGTGAAGCAGCAATTTTGTCACAATCACCCTCACATGTGCTGAGCTCATGCTTCCACTCATACAGCTGCTTTAGAGCAGTGGTTCTTAACCTTGGTTACTCAGGTGTTTTTGAACTGCAACTCCCAGAAACCCCAGCCAGCACAGTTGGTGGTGAAGGCTTCTGGGAGTTGCAGTCCAAAAACACCTGAGTAATCCAAGGTTAAGAACCACTGCTTTAGAGTATGGCTTGCTTTGTTTCAAAACTGGAAGCAATGACCTGTCCCCCACAATCTTTCACTTAGAGATAGCAAAAAATCAAATCAAGTAAAATATGGTGAAATGATGGTTCCCACCCTTCCTTACAAAAAAAAGTGGAAACAGCTCACCTTCTGATTATAGACGAGCCCCTCTCCATCTGGGCAGGGTCCTTTAGGAACACAGCGGTGACTGGAGGGGCACCAGTGGCACATCCAAGGGCTGTCCACACACGTGCCGCACCTATGAGAGGACGTGGCCAAACAAAAGGACCTTAAAGAGGGTTGCATGTGACCACCAAGCACCAAAAAGAGAGGCAGGACTTCTTTATAAAATCCAGCATCCTAAAAATCACAGCTTTGCCGCATTGTTTTTTTAAAGCAAGCAGGTTTGTAGGTTAAGCAGGGGTGGGAAACATGAGGCCTGCAAGGGACTTCCTGGCTATTTTGACACCTTCAAATGTGTGCGTGTGTGCTTGTGTGCGTATGTCTGAGATTGAAACAGAAAGAGAGAGAGAGAGAGAGACCCCAACTCCAGGAAGGGCAGTAAGGTTCTCAGTGTTCACAGGCTAGGGGTCTAACTAGTTCTTCTCTCTTGCTCACAACGAACAGAAAATAAATTATGCACAGGAAGCAAAAATAAAAGTTGGATACTTTAGACATACAGTAAGTTCCAGAACTTGCTTTTTTTAGTGTAAACATTTATCCGTTGGGGGCAAAAACTATAAAGAATCCTGCCTTCCATGTAATGGTTCTTGTAAGGCCATGATGTTCTCTGCTCCAGTCTTAGTAAACAAACATTTTGTAAATACTCCATCGACAGCTACTGCTGACACCTCCACCTCCCTCCATCCCCATTAGACATTTCCTCACGGGGTAGTATCAGCAAGCTGGCTCACGGCATTACAGTCATAAAAGGAAAATCCCATGGAGGTCACCACCACATCCCGGAACATCAGTGCTAATGCCACAGTCACATGATCTGGGGAAGGAAAACAAGAGAGCAATGAGGCATACCTGGGAACAAGAAAGAGTTCCCCATATAGCAAGGTGGGCGATGCACTCCACGCATTGCTTCTTGACACTGACAGGGTGCACAAACCAATGGGTTCTTTACTCCTCTCACTGTTTAAGACCACTGTGCTCTGAGTGCCTCTGAATCTGTCTGTCTGGTGCAAGCATTCCATCGTTGCTAAGCAACAGGGAAGCAATTTCTCCCACCAAACCCACAAAGGCCACCCAGCCTGGAATTTATCTGGAATCGGACAAAAACAATACAGGCGCTCTCAGGCCTAAAGCAAAATAATAATAATAATAAAATCCAAATGGCATGCAATTTCATCCAGCTCTCTCATCACAGGGGGAAAAATATCATAAATGTCACTTCAGTGAGAGTTTAGGACTCTTTCCAAGTACTTTGTAAAAACACAGCTCCCCCAGTGCCTCCTAAGAAAAAGAATACCTTAGAGGAGTAAATCCCTACAGTAATCCTACTCTGACTCCCACAGCACATACTCAAGGTCACTTCACACAGATTACTTGTTTCATATATTCTAAGCGTCTAAAGAGGTGGGGAATGTGTGCCTTTCCAGATGTTGCTAGACCAGCATTTACTGCCACTGGGTATGCTACTTAGGGCTGAGAAGCGTTTCAGTGCATAAGTAACTGGAGTGGGCCATGCGTTGCCCA